GAGAGAGGGAGAAAGGAGGGGGGAAGTGAGTATGAGCCAAGAGATGTGTTTGACTAGGGGTGCCTTGGGTGCCAAAATTGCTGTGTTGTACTGGTTTTGAGGTCCCAGAGCCTAGCGTCGAGCTTGGCACTTAGCCTGCGAGTCTCCTGGGACATGCCATTCCAGCTGATCTGCTTTGAAACCCAACACTTGCGTTTGTCTCTCTGTTCCGTCTCCCCGGATCCTCACTCAGGCGCATCGATTCCTGGAAGGAGCCTGCGGGTGTCCAGGAGCTCCCATATCGGAGTCTGGCACCAGGGTGCTTACACCTGGGTGCTCTGCAAACATGACGAGTCCTCCCCACCCTGTGTTGTGATGACACTTGCACCCTTCCTGGGGCCCGCTCCTTGGATCCTGTAATGGTCACTCACTGTTCTCAGAGAGATGACCACCAGAGATGGTGGATGTGGATGTTGTGGCATCATCACCATTTCAGTAGCTCTCAGAGGTGTGTTTTTTTTCTTACTCCTTAAAAAGTTTTTTTGCTGTTCATAAGCATTCATGCATATCACATTTTCTACACTGCAAACCTTTTAGCACTGTGGGCATGTTTGCACCCTCACTTACACTGTGCCTCTCTCCCAGAGGCCAGTGATGCTCGGGAACGACAGGAAAGGATGGCCCGCATCAGTTCATGGGTTCTGCATCCCGGCCGTGTCAAAGGGGCTTTAAAATGAAGTTTTCCAGCGCATTGTTCAGAGCTACCTGTAGCACGGAGCTGCTGGGAAGACTGAGCAGCCATATTGAGCATATGGTACCTAGCTGATGACCAGTTTTTAATGTCTCAGTTATAAGCAGATAGAATTTTAATCTTAATGATGATTTCTACCAGGCATTATGTCACTAAATATATATTTTGAAAGGCAGCTGAAGGCCAGCACGAGTCAGTCGCAGGTGTGGGCGGCTGTGTCTAGCATCCCAGCCATATCGGAGCAGCGCTGCAGGCCACTGCTGGGCTCTGGCTTCCCCTCTGTGCAGAGTCCTCCCAAAGCCGTCCGGCTCGGGGAGGCCGAGCTGCTGACAGGCGCTTCTCCTTATCTTGTTTTCACATCAGTTGCAACTCCTGTCTGTTCAGAACAAGCGTGGGTGGGGGTTCCTCTGCCCTGCCCTATGCTGGCTGTTAAAATAAGAGGGTGGTTTATCATATTGTTTTTCAAGTAAAGATCACGACAGTAGTTGGTGATTCCAGTGGGTCACTGGGGGGATTTGTTGATTGCAAAGAAAAGCCAGCCAAGCTCTTTTGGGACTACATCAACCCCCACACATACCATCCGAGTTTGGAGATGAGGGTTTGGGGAAGTGTGAAGTTTTGTTTGACTGGTAAGGGACAAAACATCTAAACTGCATTTTCAAACTCAAACAAATGGACAGTTTTTCAAATCAGTTTCCAGGAATTATAGCATGCAGTCGACCACTCGCATTCCAACTGCACTTTTACATGTATGACTAGTCCCATGCTACAGATGAGAAAACTGAAGCCCAGAAATACTAAAAACGTTTTGACCGAAGTCGTGTGTTTTACAGCTAGGGACTGAGGATGCCAGAAACCAAACCCAGGTCTCCCGCCCCCCAGTTTTAGTTTTTTCCTCCGCCATCCAGCCTCACATTTGTTTCTTTTTGTCCAAGTTGGATTCTCCATCTGCTGCTTCAGCATGTAGCATTTCAGCGCCTTGGCAGCTGAAGTTTAGGGGGTGCAGTATAGACTGTACAATAATATGGGATCGGCTCATTGCATCACACCGTAGATTCAAAAGTTTACAGCAATTTAGAGAGAGTTTTAAGGAAGGAGACTAGTATTTATTGAGCAAGCAGTTGCTATCCTGGGAGCTTCATGAACCTGTCACATGCAAGAGGGTACATATTTACACAGCTCCTCCCGCAATCCTGCACCGGCTCCTGGAGACATGTCTTCTTGTCCCCCCACATGACAGACAATTGCACTGGAGCTTGGGCATACAAAGAAACTTGCCCAAGGTTGCAGAGCAAATAAGTGGTGGAGTCTGAATTTAAACCTAGGTTTGCCTAATTCCAAAGCCAGCCGGTCCACCCCCACATCCTGTGAATGGGGAACCAGAGCGGTGGAATGACTGCTGTGGCCTCAGCAGCAGCAGAGCTGGGTCTCATCAGCACATCCCTCTTCCTCCCAGCAGCCCTGGCAGGCCTCGGCTCCTAGGGTCCAGATTCTCCTCTTTCCCATCAGATGGAATCTGTCAGCACTGTGGGTGACCCCTCTCCCCTCACCTGTGCCCCGTAGTCATGAGAAATTTTGTTGCAATTGAATTCTGCTTCCTATTGCTCTCTGCCTTCCAGAATCCTTCATGCCCCTCATCTAGGCTTTGACAAAAGTCATTCACAAGGAAGCTTATTTGATCGTTTGATTGGTACAATTCTCTCTACCTTCCAACTACAGAAAAGTAAGGATAGCATAAAGTACTGTAGAGAGAAGGTGGGGCACAGGACTGTGGAAACAGCGCCCGCCATGAAAGTCCAGGGTGAGTGTTAGGTGGGCACCAGCTTCGAGGTACGCCCAGGCCAGAGGCGCCCTGGGTGCCACTGTGGAGGCTTCCGATGCTGCTACAAAGGCCAAACCTAAAGCTGGCTCACCACCCCCCGCGTTCCCACACACCTCCGCCCTCCACTCTCCTTACACCCTCCGCTCCCCACCCCTTTGGAAATGTTTTCCCTTCAGTGCTCCACTGATGTTCATTTTAACCTGCAGTTGTGTGTACAAATGTGTAGTGTGTGCAAACTATTAGTTCTGAGTCTCTGGACCCCCACAGGGCAGGGGCAAAAGAGACGGAGGGGCTCCATGGAAGGGAACTAGTGTCTTTTAGGCATTTGCTCTAGAGAAGCTATTTTATTGAACCCTCATAACAACACTTCTCCTGCAGAGAAGACAGAGAGGTTCGGAGTGGGAAGGCCATTGACACAAGGTTTCCAGCTAGCAAGTTGCAGACCCAGGGTCAGAAACCAGCCTTCTGTCCAGGCACACGCTCTTTCCACTTTGCTGCACGTCACACGTAGCAGCGCCTGCCTCCACATCTTAGAGCGATAGTGTGGCTCCTGCTGGAGGACACATGGAGAGAGCCTGCATGTGGGGGCACAGGATTGGGTTCGAATCCCAGCTCAGCAGCTTCCTGTGTGTTCTTGGTGATCCCTTCAATCTCTGCTTCTCCTATCCTGTATGACATAGTATCTACCTTCCAGAATTACTGGGAGAAACACATCGGTGACAGATTTAAATGTTTTGTGATGTATTAATTTCTACATAAGTGGTTTTACTTAATTTTGGAAAATCGATCAAGGAATTGACATTGGTACCCACAGGCCAGTGATGGAAACTGCTCATTAGTCAGTCAGGAGCTTTATTCGCCTGGATTACTCGGTGGACAGGCGTGTGGTGTGGGCATTGGTGGAGGCCCAGTAGGTGTGGCCTGGGAGGTCCTCATCCACTTTGGAGCAGCTCTGCCTTGCGAGAGGGAGAAGTCAGTCCCCGGCAATTAGGGGGAGACCCAGAAGTCATCCTTCACAGACGTGGCTCACAGTCTTCTTGCTCGAGGCTTTAGGCTACATGCGAAGGCCCCAGTGCTGGGTGGACGGTTTAATATCATGAGTTTGTCTCCGTCTTTGGTGCTGGCTCTGACCAGAGTTATGCAGATGCTGAGTACTGTGCTTTTTTAAAATAATTCTCCAAGTTTAGGATTTTTTGTTAACTTTATAGTTTAGTGGATAAGCTTAACATTTCTTTTTAATTTTTTCATTCTATTTTTTCAATTAAAAATTTCCTGTGTTTCTTATTGGCTCACATAACTTCTGATCATTACCTCTAATCTTGATGTGAGCAGTGAGGGGTGTGGCTGGGAAGCATATGCTGACAGGGAGAGGAGAGCTGCATCTGGGTAGGCGATGGTGACAAACCCTGAGAGATGCAGGGCTTAGCCTTTGCATGCGCCTAGAGCTACAGAAATAGATACTCTGCTCCACATTCAACCAGAATCATCCTGTTTCATCACCAAAAAACATCAGGGCCATGGGCAGTATTTTATGATTTACATTAAAAATTCCCAGTTCCCAGCACTCTAACCCTGCTCGGCCCACAGGCCAGGACGGGCTTGATGCTTGTGAGGCTGCTCCGTCTGCTTTGGATTTCTTGGCTTCTTTGTCCAAGGACATTAGAAAGTCTAGCTGTATCTTGGGAGGGTCTGAGGACTTTACCGATTGATTTTTGGATTACAAAGAAACAAAAAGACAGTAAGAAATGTTCTAATTGCTGTTATTATTTTTTTGCGGGGGAGGTCTGTGGCTCGAAGTCCCCAGAGTAATTAACACAAGCGTGGAAAGTTAAATGTTCTAGTTTAAAAGGCAGTGGGAGAAACTACATAGCATGGAAATAATAAAATAAACTTTATTAATGAGAGAGAGGCACCTACAGTGACAAGTTCTGCTGGTTACTTGATGGGGTGGGAGCCTCTTCAAACTGCTTTTTGGGCAATACTCACAGTTTCCAACATCTGTGGGCTTTTCACAAGGGGCTTGTTCTTCCTTCTGACACTCACCTCAGGGCCCTGAGCTCCCCGGAGGCACAGAGGTATACCCGTGTCACGGGGTTGCGTCTGCATGCACCCCCATAGCTCCCACTTGCCAGTGTTCAGAGTAGGAGGGACAGAGAGCTGAGAATAAGACCAGTTCTTTCCTCTGACTTTCCATTGGAAATGTCTTTGCCTCCATCTCAAAACTTGTCCTAGCAACTTTTGCCCACAGCAAGGCATCTCCCTCCTCTGAACTCCAGGGCATATGTTGGCCGCCTCCCTTATGAGGCCTTAGGCCACCATGTAAGTCTCCCATGTTTTCACCTGGATGCCCAGAGGAGTGCAGTCTCTGAGAGCAGGAGCTCCTTCTGTCCCAGTCCTACGTGGGGCTCACAAGTACTAAAGTGTACACTCAGCAGAGACAATCAGCAAATACCCCAGGAGGAGAAGTGTCACTAGTTCCTCAAAAGTGGAATCATTTTCTTTAAGAATGAAACCATGTCTGCATAGTTGGGTGCAAAGAAACTTCATCCAAAACACTAGTAACATCAGCATGGAGAGAGTCTAAAATAAAGATCTGTTGAAAGTACTTAAGGAGGGCAGATAACATCATCACATACAATAAAATAGAGGACTCTATCTCCACAAGGCATGAAGACTCCTTGCTTTCATTATTGAAGTTCAGATTGGAGACTTCAGAGAACCCCACATTACAAGAAATTCTAGGAACCAAAAATGTGTTTGGGGTTTTGGGGACAGATAAAACATTAAGCAAGAAGAACCATCAGATTTTACTCAGAGAAAATGCAGATTCCCTGTACTATTCTTTGTACTATATTAATCACGTTGAAATGGAGGGCAGACATTGCTCTGAAACTTACTGCCAGTCCTGATTTTGCATGTGCACGTCATTCCTTTG